CTTCTTTCCTTCAGTCTGGAAAATAACTTTTTTTTTGGGTTATTCTCTGAAAGGAATCTTCGACATCATGCTAGTTCATCCCTTCATTTTACCTGCAAGAAGGCTCAGGTCCAGATAGCCAAGGGACTTATCCAGGTTTGTGCATGAGCAGAAGTGTGATGAGAACTTAGGATGCCTGACTGCACTTCCGCACCATTTTTTCCCCCCACCATTTTTTAAGGCGTGCTGAATGTTGGGCATTTGTGGTTAAGTCAAGATTCTACTCTCAAGAACTTGCCATTTCTTCTCCCTGGAGAGAAAACACATGAACCAATTATAATAAAAAGCACTAGAATAAGATCTGCTATGATAAAGGGGCGGGGACTGAAATGTGAATGACAGAAGGGGGTGCAGGAGGTCCTCCTGGAAGAGGGGAAAAGACATCATACTGAGCCAACGTCTCTGTGGTTATGGTGGCATTAAGGAAGTACCCTCTTAGTTAGGGACCATTTGGTCAGATAGTGGGGTGCACTCTGTACATGTGTGTGTTTGCATCTGTTGGTCTGGGTGGGGCTCCCCTGCCCCACAGGTAGAGTCAGCACAAGTAGAAACATCTTGGAAAAGGACTTCCTCTGTGGTAACAAGTCTGTGTTTGAAATTCTGCCCCCCCCACTAATTTTGAGCAAATAATTTGCCTATTCTGACCTTCTATTAAGTCATCTGTAATATAGTTTAAAAACAAAATGGCTGGAAGGGTTGTTGGGAGGTTATCCTTAGAAAACACATATGCAGGAGCACCTGGGTGGCTCAGTCGGTTAAGCATCTGCCTTCAGCTCAGGTCATGATCTCAGGGTCCTGGGATCGAGCCCCACATCGGGCTCCCTGCTCGGTGGGGAGCCTGCTTCTCCCTCTCCCACTCCCCCTACTAGTGTTCCCTCCCTCTCTCTCTGTGTCTCTCTCTGTCAAATAAATAAATAAAACCTTAAAAAAAAAAAGAAAACATATATGCAGAATATTAGTGATTTATGTGAAAAGGAAAGGTTTCATTTACACAAATATATGTGGTTGAATCACATCACTGTGACCTCTCTTGCCTTGCAGATTTTCAATGTCTTGATGGTAGGGGGTTGGTGTTGGTTCTACGAGTTCTCCAAGGTGAGGAATACGTGCAGGATTTCCCACAGTGCCTAGGATAGAACTCTCCTCTCCATATGGAAAAGAGGCATTTAAGAATACCAGACCTGGGCCATTTCTTTTGAACTGTCATGTGCTTTAGACTTCTCAGTTTTGCCTGGTTGCAGATTGAAAGATGAATAACTTTGAATTATTCAATTTCAATTATTTCAATTATTCAATTTCAAATTTCAATGATTTCAATTTCAAATATTTCAATTATTCAATTATTGCAGATGAATAACTGTATGTGTTAACTTATTCATCTAAAAAATTCTTGACTCTAGTTGCTCAGGGCTTTCCATAGTGTGCAAGATGATGGTTGTCCAGTTTGTAAATATTAGGTGGTCCAATTTAAGATTTTTTTTTCCCAGATTTTATTTTATTTGAAAGAGAGAAAGTACAAGCAGGGGAAGGAGCAGGAAGAGGGAGATGCAGGCTCTCTCTGAGCAGAGCACCTGATGTGGGGCTCCATCCCAGGACCCCGGAATCATGACCTGAGCCGAAGGGAAACGCTTAACCGACTGAGCCCCCGAGGCGCCCCAGGTCCACTTTAGCGTGTCCCTGCCTGAGAATCATATGAGGTGGGGTGACCTGTTACAGATCCTCTGGGGTGATGAACATTCACCTGTCGGGAGGCGTAATCAGTGTTAGATCTTTGCTACTCGACATGTGGCCCCAAGTCCAGGAAGCCTCATCACCTGAGAGCTTGTTGGACATCTCGAATCCCAGTCGCCATCCCAGAGATAAGAACCTGGGCCAGAATCTGCATTTTAGCAAGATGTGTGGATGATTTGTGTGCATACTGAAGGTTGAGAAGCACTTACACAGAACATGGGGTGTCCCTGGGAGTTCAGTCTCCCCTTTCACTGTGGAGCTGTCCTGGTTCTGTCTGGCTAGAATGTATCCCCAGTCTATGTCTGATTCACTTCGAGAACTGAAGAATAGTTTCAAATTGACTAAGAATTGCAGGGTCAAGAAAGGAACTGGGGAAGGAACAAAATATGGAAAAATTATTCTTGATTTGAGTCTCTAACATTTGCCTTGAATTGTATGATTGAACTCAGTGTCTGTAAAGCTTTTGCCTATAAAAGCAGGCCAGTCAACATTTTTCTTACCCAAATCATTAATCACTAGTTATTGGCCATCTTGGTCTGTTCTTGGCTCAGCTTTTCTGTCCAGTTATTTCTGTAGGTAAATATTTTAAATGGAGAAGGACAGACATGAGAGATATGTTTTTATTTCTTTTAAATGGATATTTTCTGAAAAGGAATTAATGATGAAAGCCTGTATAATTTTTGTTGATGGGGTATAACCAGCACAGGGTGTTCAGTAATCCAGGGCCTTCTGGTGGAACATAAAGGTCTTTTTGGTTCTTATATTTTATGAGATATCATTTTTCTGCTAAATAATTAAGGTTGGAAAAGTTTGGAAGCATGGGTAAGCCTGGGGTTCTGAATTTTAAGTGTAATTCTGAGTTAAGAATATTGTATTTAAAAAGGTAAAATATTGGAATATTTTTTGAAGGGGAATTAAAAAAATTCAAGCCTGGCTTTTAGTGTTTTTACCTTTATCCTTGTTACAAAAATGGCATTTTCCTAGTATGACATCATCATGTGACCTTTGAGCTTGTTTGCCTTTATTTAGTTAATTTACTCTCTGCTAGTCTGAAATTTTTCAAGATGGGAAATGAGCTTTAGCTGGGGTCAAGAGCCAGGTTAAAAGTTTGAGTTCCCTGCTCTGTAGCTGCCTGGCTGTGAGGCATGGGCATGTCCTGGGCTCTGATGTCATCATCTCTGAGTGGAAGGAACTGGACCAGATCCATGATTTTGATGGGAATGGGGCTCTATGAGCAGGTCGTGTGTGTATCAGGATCTTGAATGTGGAGAACATGTGTGATTTAATAACATAAAATAACATAAAATAAAAATAACACAAAATAAAACATAAATAACATAAAGTAACATAAAATAACATAAAAGTAACATAAAATAAAAATAACAAAATAAAAAAAATTAATAACAAAAAATAACAAAATTTAATAACATAAAATAACAAAAAATAAAATAAAATAACATAACATAAAAAATAACATAAAATAAAAAATAACAAAAATAAAAATAAAAATAACATAAAAATATAAAATTTAATAACCTAAAATAACAAAAAATTTAGTAACATAAAATAATATAAAAAAAGTATTTATTTGGAAAATGGGAAAAAATGCAAATAAGTGGCACCATAGAAAGCATGATACAGTCTTGCTGGCTAACGTAGAATGGGAAGTACATGAAACTAGCAGTGCCGGTAACAGTTTTTAGTGAGTGTAGCATGCCAGTAACTGTTTTAAACTTTTGGTATATGTATATGTGTGTGTGTGTGTGTGTGTGTGTGTGTGTGTGTGTGTGTGTATATATATTCTCATATATATATATTCTCATTTAAACTTCACAAACCCTGGGGTGCCTGGGTGACTCTGTCAGTTAAGTATCCAACTCTTGATTTTGGCTCAGGTCATGATCTCATGGAGCCTGCTTGAGATTCTCTCTCTCCCTTTGCCCCCACACCCCATGCTCTCTCTCTCTTTGTCAAATAAATAAGTAAACCTTGAAAAAAGAAACAAAAATCCCTCATAGACCCCTAGAAGATCAGTAATGTTATCATATGAGCCTATAGAATAGAAAGGTAAAGAAAGCATCTCGTTCAAGATCATTATAACCAGTATATGGGTAGATCTGGGGTCTAAATCAAAACAAGTTTGCAATGTTGGCTGCTAGGTTTCCTACCTCTGTATTCATAGTTTGATATGAACCAAGATAAATTCTATCTATATTTTACCTTCTGGAAAAAGAGTTTTATTATATGTGTAATGGTATGAAATTGCCCCTCAATCCTCAGGTATAAAGAAAAAAATCATGTATTTTCCTCTAAATCCAATTAAAGTTCCATTGGCAGAGACTGGTGAGTTGTTCAGGATCAGTAGCACTAGGGGATTCCTTCCCCGCCCACACAATTTGGCTAGAAAGTCCAGAGGATCTCAGATCCCCACTTATCATGGTGGTGCCGAGATGCTCACTGGCCAACCTTGCGTTGCCCATTTTAGAGTGGCCAGTCACTGTTTATTCCTTCCATACTCACCTTGGCCACCACGATCTCCCTGGGGCTCCTGAGGCCAAACCAAGGCTTTTGGATGTCAGTTCCCAGCTGTTCACTTGTTCAATCTTGCCAGAAGTTTTCACCTGCCCCTGCCAGGGAACCACACAGACCCTGTGCCTGGTACGGGTCCAGACACGGTGCTAATGGACACAGAGCTTCCTGAAGGGAAGGGAAGCATAGCTCTCATTCTTTCATCCTAATCCCATAGGGAGTTGGTTAACTTCTCTATCAAATTATCCTCCTGCCTGAAATGACAGCAAGACTTAACAGGATTGACCTTAAGCAATTTTATTAGTGTCCAATTTGCATTTCTCTTGTTTGTGTGGCTAACCTGAGATGACCTCAATTCATTGCTTGCGGTATCTGTGGGACACTGGGTACATGAATTCTTTAAGCCTCTGTTTCATCTTTTATAAAATGAGAATAATAATGGTTTCTGTTCCACAGAGGGTGCTGGGGGATCCGCTCTGACAAGATGCTTCTTTGGAGAATGGCAAGGAGACCAGCAGAGCTGGAGGGAAGAGTCAAAGTGGGTGGGACTGTGGCAGCGCCTGGGCTGGAAGTGTATAAATGCCATTTTATGGGGTTTGGACACACACTGGCCTTCTTTCGGGTTGTTTCATTAACTGGAGTTTGTGTTCTGCTTAAGATGTACGAAAATCCCTCTGATTAACTTGTTTCGGCCTATTTAGGACCCGACCGACTTTGAGTGGAGCTTCTGGATGGAATGGGGAAAACAGCGGCTGCTGCGGTTTCTGTTTGGCCACGTGGTTGTGTCTCAGCTGGCCAATGTGCTTGCAAGGAAGGTATGCTTACGTGCTTCGTTTCCTTTTAAGCTGCTTTCTTTGCTTTCTGAGAGAAAAGAGTCCTGAACTGGGAATCAGGAGATGTGGATATTAGCCTCGGAAGCCTGGAAAAGATGAGAAAGACCTGCTGATGATCAAAAAAGGCATTTATGATAAATGTTTCATACATTCTTATCTTTCACTTGCTTCCTCCAAGTTATTTTTAAAACCATTGAAGGTTTTAGAATAAAACGAACTACAGACGGTATTAAGATCATACCTAATCAAATGATCTTACTAAAACAAATGTTTGGGGTGCCTGGGTGGCTCAGTGGTTTAAAGCCTCTGCCTTTGGCTGAGGTCATGACCCCAGGGTCCTGGGATTGAGCTCTGCATCGCATCAGGCTCTCTGCTTAGCAGGGAGCCTGCTTCCTCCTCTCTCTCTCTCTCTGCCTGCCTCTCTGCCTACTTGTGATCTCTGTCTGTCTGTCAAATAAATAAATAAAAAATCTTTAAAAAAATTTTTAAAAAATGCTTGTCAGGACCTCTGATTTCTCGTATAAGTTCAGAAGAAAGTAGAGTGAATGATATCATTAAGTGGGAATAATTTTAATGTCAAATAATTTATGCCATGGTAGCTGTTGTAGATCAGAATTCTAGTAGTATTGTTTATTTTGACCCTGGCCTGGAGTGGAGGATAAGGGCTACTTCAAAGGGGGTGTTTGGGAATTGCTTTCATACGCAGGAAGATTGAAAGCCTCTTGGTGTGTTTAGCTACCCTGGGATTTGAGATATTACCAGGAGGATCTCTCTGTAGTGGAGGGACCACGCTTTGTCCAGAGTCTTCTGCTATATGCTTCTCGACTCTGTAGATTCCTAATTTGAAAAAAAATGAGTCTCTGCTGGGGAATCTGTGTAGTAAAGATAACCAGAAAGTGACTTGAAGTCAGCCCACAAAAAATGTTTGATATTTGGAGGTTCATGGAAGTGAAGAAACAAGACACAGGAGCCTCTGGGCAAGAGAGACCAGAATGTGAGACTGAGAAAACAAGGTGGCTTGAGAGGTGGACCTGACTTGGGCCATTTTTTAGCTGTTTCCTGAAAATTGGTACTTTTAAGGCTCACTTCTCATCCTGGAAGATAGGAAATCCCAGCAGCACATTAACTTTCTTTGTTTTAAATATGATATTGATTACTTTTTGTATTCAACTGATTTCCATCTTCTAAAATGGCAAAAACTAAAATCATTACATGTGGTCATATCTTCATACATTAGAAATTTCCTAGGACTTTCTAAGCAGACCCAATAATAAATAATACATGTTTGGGATGTCCCTAAGCTAGTAAGGATTATATAGTATAGGTACTCAAGCCACAAATTTGTTTGGTATTTTTTTAAGAGTTCAAGTTTTCTAGAAATTTAACATTTTTGTGTTTAACCAAGGTTTCTCTGCCCATAGGTAAATGACTTACTCTGCCCCTAGATCTCAGTTTTCCCATCTGTAAAATGAATAGCATAATACCTGTCACTTTTATTTTGTGAGGGGAAGGTGAAATGTCCAGGAGGCCTGTGAAAAGTGTCCGGTCTTACTACTACTGCTGTGGTAAGGGTCAGTTGCAACGTAGCCGAAGAATATTAGCTGGTGTATTAGGTCCTGGGCTTTCTCACTGATTATCTTTATAACTTTAGTAAAGCTCACCACTGAATTTTAATTCATCATTTTCTGTAAAGTAGGGGTAGAGACAGTGCTGTTCTTTTTTTACCACCTTAAAAAGTGGTGGGTTTCATCTGTTAGAAATCTCATTAGAAAGTAAGGGTTTGGGCACCTGGGTGGCTCAGTAGGTTAAGTGTCTGCTTTTGGCTCAGGTCATGATCCTGGGGTCCTGGGATCCTGTCCTGCATTGGGCTCCTTGCTCAGTGGGGAGCATCCTTCTCTTTCTTCCTCTGCCCCTCCTCTCTGCTTGTGTACTCTCTCTCTCAAATAATTAAAATCTTAAAAAAAGTAAGGGTCAAACATGGAAAAGATAGGACAAATAGAAAGTACAAAAGAAGTGGGAGATATATCATAATCCGTGGAAATGGACCTATCCCCACCCATGTCCCCCAGAAAAAGATTGTCAAACTGGATAAAAGAAAAACAGAAATAAAGGAAAATAAAAAAAGAAATAAAAACATAGTCCTGAGATGTGCTTCTTAGCAAGATCTACTTAAAATGGGGGACATGGAAAGTTTAATAGTAAAAGGATGGGAAAGATGTTCCAACCAAATCTAAGACTCTCCGTCTTCCCTGCCCACCCAAATACTGGTACAGTTTTTTCAATAGCTGGCAAAAAGCATTATTAGTGACAAAGACATTTATTGTTTAATGATGAAGAGTTAATTAGGAGGGTGTTATAATTCTACTTTTGTTTGTTTTAATATAATGCAAAATTGGTCAGTACCATAAAGATAGACAAATATATGATTATAGGGATTTTTAAAAAATTTTATTTATTTATTTGACAGAGTGAGAGTGAGTGCCAGAGAGCATAAGTGGGGTGAGAGAGCATGAGCACGGTGAAGGGCAAAGGGAGAAGCAGACTCCCCGCTAAGCAGGGAGCCTGATGTGGGGTTCAATCCCAGGACTCCAGGATCCTGGAGACAAAGAAAGATGTCCAACCAACTGAGTTAGCCAGGTGCTCCTATGGGGAGAGATTTTAACATAATTTCATGACTAATTGATATATAGAAAAAACAAGGAAAATATAATTAATAAGCTTGATATAAGAAGTATATGTAAATTGTTAAACCTAACAACTAGATAATTCATATTCTATATTAAAGAATACAGAGTATTAATAAAAATTAACCACATAAGGGTCGCATGGGTGGCTCAGTTGGTTAAGCATCTGCCTTCAGCTCAGGTTGTGATTCCGGGGTCCTGGCATTGAGCCACGCGTTAGGCTCCCTGCTCAGTGGGGAGCCTGCTTCTTGCTCTTCCTCTCCCTCTGCCACTCTCTTCCTGCTCCTGTTTTTTCTCTCTCTGTCTCAAATAAATAAAATCTTAAAAAATTAATCATATATGGACCATAAATTTCAACAAATCTCAAAAGTATTTTCAAATAGATTTTGAAGTATGTGTTTTATATAGGTTACCCTCTTTAATCCCAGTGCAATTAGGTTTGGAAACCAGTAACACAGGATGACCTGAAAACTCTATTTCATTTAGAAATTAAAGAGAACATATTTTTAAATAATTTGTAGGCCAAAAAAGAGATCATACTAGAAATTAGAAACTAGAAATGAATGAAAAATATTACATATCAAAACTTACAGGGTGTGGCTAGAATGATACTTAATTGTAAACCATAATCTTACATACTCATATTAAAAAAAGAAAGGCTGAAAAATACTGAACTAAGCATACAAATTAAGTTAGAAAGAATAGAAGGAAAGGAAAGAAACAATAAAAATAAGAGCAGCAATTAATAAAATAATCACTGGCAAGATTGGTCAAGGAAAAAGAAAGTGCACAAATAAGCAGTATTAGGTATGGAAAAGCTGATGAAAAAATATAGTAAGAGGATATTTTGTACAACTTTACACCAAAAGTCTTGAAAACTTTGGCAAAGCAGACACATTGCTAGAAAATACAACTTACTGAAACTGACTCATGAAGAAATAGAATGACCAAATTGTGCTATGACCGTGAAAAGAAATTGAATCACTAGTCAAAAATCTATCTGTAAAGAAAACACTAGTAATATACCAATTCTGCCAAAAATCCAAGACACAAATGACCTAAATCTTTCCCAGACTTTTTCAGAAAAGAGAAAAAGAGGGAACATACCTTTTAAGAAGATAGTATAAAATTGATACCAAAACCAGAGGATGTACCCTACCAGATATTATGACTTATAAAGATATGATAATGAGGACATTGTGGTATTTGCAGCAGGGTAGAAAAATGGACCAATGGAACAGAATAGAGTTTAGAAAATACCTGTGCATAGATGGACACTCGTTTTGTGACAGAATTAGCATTTCGGATCTGTGTGGAAAAGATGAAGTGTTTAATAAACGGTGGTGACACAATTGTTTAGCTGTGTTCAAAAGAAATGCACACTTTTCCTTTTCAGTGGAGATTAAGGACTTACAGTGAAAAGGTATATTATTTTTAGAAAGCGTGATGTGGAATATCTGTTAATGATGAGGTTGAGAAAGATTTCTTAAGACACAAAAAGTAGAAATTGTGAAGGAATGAATTGGTAAGTTCTTATTCTAATGTAGTTAAACTTATCAGTGTATAATCCTGTGTAATCAGCAGTGTGTACATCATTGGATGTATCCAAAGAGATAATGAAGAAAGTGAAAAAGCAAGTCACTAATAGGTAATTTACAAGCTGACAGATTAGTATTTAGAATACATAAATTTCCCAAGGTAAGACAAATCACCCAGTAAATAATGGCTCAAGATGTGGAAAGAAATTTGCAGAAGAGGAGACACAAATGACCAATAAACTTGGAACACATGTTCAACTTTATTAGTAATCAAGCAAATGCATCTTAAAACCATATCATTTCATACTCTCCAGTTGCGCAAAGACAAAACTCCTGGTTGTGTCACGTAATGGCTACCTGAACTCCTACAGAGAGCTTGTGAATATGTATTTTTCTTTGCAATACAAAGAGGTGCATAGCCCATAGCTACAGTACTAATTCTGACATATCCCCTGGAGAAACTCCTTTTTGCCAATCAGGGGATGAGTCAGGACATTCATTGACGTGATGTTTATAATAATGAAGAACCAGAAGCAATCCAACTGTCCATTATGGGGAAAAGGAGAATTGTGGTGAATTTATTCCATGGAAAGGACTGAATCATAGCTGTAATGGTCAACACAGACGAATTTTTGGATCAGCACATTGAGCTGATAAGGCAAGTTGCAGAGGATTCCATCAGATATGATCCCATGTAAAGCTCAGAATTGTGCAAAACTAAATGATACATTTACATGTATGCTTACAAAGATGAGATAAC